CTGCCCGGTCCAGCCCTTCTCTAACGTGCGGAGGTATCCTGTCTCCATTTCACAGATGGGGAAAGTGAGTTCCAGAAGGCCTGGAGGACTTGCCAAGGTCGTGCCACTTGTGGCGAAAAGAAATCATATTTGAACCCCTAGAGGTCCAACTCCCGAAGTCGTCTGGTTTCACTGAAGTGAAGGTTATTTTTCTCTCATTAAAAAAAAAAATTAAAATTAAAAAAAAAGGGAAAAAAGATACAAAAAAAAAAGAGGCTTGTGTGCGTGTGTTTTCTGGTATTTATGCATTTTTTTTCTAAGTCCTGTAAGCATTATGGTAATTTCTAGAATGACGGCAGTTATATTAACATCTTATACGGCTCACATCTCTACGGCAGACAGGCTCATTTATCTTCATGAGCTTTTATTATAAGAGGTATTTACATATTATACATATTTACAATTCTCTCCCACCACCAAAACCAACAAAATTTCCAGCACAAGTTGCTCATGAATTTCTTATGAACGAAAGACACTGAAATATTCACTGTTCTCCCCTCACTTGTTTGAGCCTTTTTCTGTTTTGTAATTTGCCCTTCTGATTAGTTCTTCCTGGAGCTCATTTACACATCCATAGGGCTCATCATTTTTCGCCTTCTAAAGAGTCTTTATCTCTTCAAATCATGAGTTTGTGTGCCTATCCTCTTTCCCTTTTAGTTAGATCTCTTAAAATTGTTTAGAAGGATTTTTTTTTTCTTTTCTGTTTCATCCCTTTCAAGAAATAATTTCAAGAGCATCATCTGCTGGGTGTCTGGCTTTGTGCTAGGCGCTGAGACAAAGGTGGATTTACAATGTGCTCTTCAGGAGGGGGAGCCTGGTGACTGGCTTAGTCAGTGGGCACGCACATTATCAGAGTGTGGTGGGGACAGCAGGGGCCACCTCTGGAGTTCCACAGAACAGCCCTGGGATTGGGGACAAGGCACACACATCCTCAGTGTCCTGATTCTTACATGGATAAATAAAGGAGAGAGGGAGTGTAATGGGCTGAATTGAATCAACTTTCCAAATTTATATGCAGAACTCTAATCCCCCCCACCTCAGAATGTGGCTTTATATGGAAATAAGAAGCTTTAAAGAAACGATTAAGTTAAAATAAAATCACCAGAGTGCATCCTGCTCCAATGAACTAGTGTCCCCATAAGAAGAGGAGGGTAGGACCCAAACACTCACAGAAGAACAATATTAGGAAGACACTCAAGGCTCCAAAGAGCACCAAGGGGAGACAGGTCTCAGAGGAAACCAGTCCTGCCTATATCTTGATCTTGGACTTCTAGCTTCCCCAGTTATGGGGGGGGGGAGGAAATCTGTTGTTTAAGCTCTGAATCTATGGTACTTTGTTATGCTACCTCTTGCAAATTAATACAGGGAATAATTATAGACCCACAGAGAAAGAACCGTATAAAGATGCATTTAGGCTTTTGTGTGCCACACACCATCTTGGAACTATCCCAGATGACAGTGGGACTTTCCAGGTCACCATAGTGGGCACTGGTTGTTTTTTGTGTGTAGGATCCATTCCTCTTCTAGGATCAGCATCGGCATCTTGGTTATTCCGGAGGACCCCACTTCCCTGTGCTGATAATCGTGAAACATGGGGCTGACCCTGCTCCCTCCATTCCCGGATTTAGCAAGTGGCCCTGATTTGCCAGTTGGCCTATTCCATATTTCTGACGGCTGGGTTTCCAACTATAATCCAAATTGACCTGTACTGGACTTGGGTTTGCCAGATTAAACACAGGATGCCCAGTATTATAGTTTGAATGTGGACTGTCCCCCCAAAGTCTCATGTGTTGAGGGCTTGGTTCCCAAAGCAACACTCTTCAGAGGTCAGCATTTGAGAAGTGATTGGATCATGAGGGGTCTGATCTTACCAATGGATGAACCCATTGATTGATTCACAATTAAATGAACTATTGGAATGGGGCCTGGTTAAAGCAACAAGTCACTGGGGGGGGGGTATGACCTCAAAGCATATATTTTGTCCCTGACCCATCCCTTGCTCTCTGTGTGCTTTCCAGCTGCTATGAGGTGAGCAGTCTGTTCTTCCAGTTCCTCTCCACCTCATCACAGGCCCACTGCAATGGAACTAGCTGACTATGGTCTGAAACCTCAGAAATTGTGAACCGAAATAAATCTTTCCTCCTCTAAGTTGTTTTTCTCAGGTAAGTTGTGACAGCGATCAAAAGCTGCCACAACCAGTTAAATTTGAATTTCAAATCAATAAATGAATATTTTTTTTTTTTTAGTATAAAGGTGTCCTAAATATTCACTACATCTGGTCACTCCCGCTGGACTGTTAAGGAGCAACTTTGTTTTTGTTGAATGTGTTGAGCTGGTACAAAGTGATCTTCACAGGAGACTCTGGATCCAACCGTGCTCAAAGCTGGAACTACTTTTTCACTCTTCGGTTTTGTGGGTTGACAAAGTCCCTTCTTTATACAAGTCCCTGTGAAACGGGGAGGGGGGGTGTCATTTGCAACATAAAAATGATGACTCGTCAAGTCAGTTGTTCAATGCTTGAAATCCTCCAAAACTTCCTACTATGGGTTCGTCCAGACTTTGCTCAGTTAGGGAAGAGATAAGAAGGCTCAGTCTGAGAAGTGATGAGAAATAAGTTTAAATGACTCGGTCTCAATTGCTCTTCTCAAGGAGGACTTCTGTTTTCTTTGTTAAAGACCATGCAACAGGACTGCAGAAATGATGGAGTTTTGCAAGAAAAAAAGGGCCCTTCAAAGCCAGCTGGGTACAGCAGGTACACACTGGAATCCTAGTGATTCTGGAGGCTGAGGCAGGAGGATTGCAGGTTCAAGGTCAGCCTCGGCAATTTAGCAAGACCCTGTCTCATAATAAAAAAAAAAAAATTAAAAGTTGTAGCTCAGTGGTAGAGCATCCCTGCCTTCAATCTTCAGCAGGGGGCAGGAGGTGGGAGTGCTTCCCCTCTGAAGAAAGGGTAAAACAAAGCACCCTTTGTCCTGCTGAGCACTCCCTGGTTGCATCATGAAAGCAATCAGAGCCATGTGCAAGGCATGGTAACCTTGCTTGTCTGTCAGAATCCCACAGTAATTGAGCAGCTAGTGGACTTCTGTCCTCCAAGAGGTTGGAAAAAGGGGTGTGCTTGCTTGATTTCTGTGAATGGGGTTAAAATTCAATGCTGAGAGAAGGAGCATGTCTGTTGGGAAGGTCACATAAAGACAGAGATGGCCTCCCAGGGATGTGGGTGGGGACTGGGGAAGAGCTGACAATTGTATAAACACATGTAAAGAAGAATTTCAACAGAGAGGATTGGTGGGCTGTAGAAGCCCAAAGGCAAGTGCAGGCCAAGTCCATCCCCATGAAGGCCAGAGGGTGTCTGGCTCCATCGGACCTGGGCACAGTTTTCCTTGGTCAGACCGACCTCTTGGGACTGATATAAACAGAGAGACACTTCACAAGCTCTGCCCCTTCATGACTGTAATTCTAGAACATTCCACAGAATGTAGCTTCCTACATTCAGCAATTCTGCAAAGAGTGGAGACAGCACTGACCTGCTGGTCCAACACCGGCCGACAAACTGTGTATTTCTCGGGGTGTATGGACAGAATGTTATTGCTTGCACCGCAGGCTCACGGAGCCAGCGGTATTTCTAAGTGTGTATTGACAGAAGGCCTTTCTCTTCTGTAGCCTTGTTTACCTCATAGCTGCATCCATTATCCTCCCTGCCAGAAGTTGTCAGTCACTCTGGAATGTGGGGCTAGGTAGGCAAAGTCTGAAGCAGGGTCACCGTGGGTACGTGGACTGATGTGCTTCTGCAAAACTCATCTGGTCTCAGGCTCTACTTTTAGCAGCATTTACGCTCACTCATATTGATTGACAATGACGGACACCTGTCTCGTTCCTCAAATGTCCTCTTACACCAATGGACAGGGAGTCCAGCTCAGTGCCCCCTCTGCAGGGTGCATATTCATCCTATACTTGTCACTGGTGTGAAGCACTCCCTGGGCCACGTAGCTCCTCCAACCACTGGATATTCAGGACCTCGCGTGCATCAGGTGCTATGCTGATCAATGAAGATGGTTCCCCAAGGAAAGGAGACACAGTTTTGCCCTTGTGGCACCTACAGACTAAGCACTCATGACACAAAGAAGCAAGCAATCACAGCAGGCGATGGTGGTGAGTGGAGGGAAAGGGTGGGCTTCGACCCAGGCATCTGACCTCCTGAGAAGGGGACGTTCAGTTGTGCCCTGAAAGGTGCATTGGTGAAGGCAGGTGAGGATCACGTGGACCAGTGCCCAAGGCAGAGAGAAGTGAGTGTGAGAAAGCCCCAGGTCCTGAAGATCCCCGGGGCTGGGCAGTGAGCCAGGGCTGCATGCGGAGAAGGATGTTGGACAGGTGCAGGTGAGGAGTTGGATCTTGTCCTGAGCATACTGAAGAGTGGGGATGATGGAAGGCATGCTTCAATGGCAGTGTGAAGGAACCACTGTGGGGACTCTTGAGGAGAAGCAGGGATTGGCCATCTGTCTCTTGGCCAGGTAAGAGATGATGCTGGTTGAGTAGCAGTGATCCTGGAGAGAAGGAAGCTCAGATGAGCAACACGGAGGAGATAAACCCAAAAGGATCA